GACTAATGATCGAACATGATCTATCTCTAACTATCAAATTAAATAAACAATAATGAGATAGAATCAATTAGTTATACAAGATGAACACGATTATAGATAATCAATTCATAACTGAAGCGATGAATTAAATAGACTGAATTCGATAGTGAAGAGGAATGTAAAGCGATACTTCTTGTTCATGACACAACGCCTCATTTCCTTGATGGAAGAGTTCTTTTCTCGAAGCAGGCAGAGCCGGTAATGCCTGTAAAAGATCCAACATCTGACATGGCTATAATCTCACGGAAAGGATCAGGTCTTGTCAGAGATATTCGGGAGAAGCAAAGTATGCATAAATCAAGACAGAGGTTTTGGGAGCTTCCAGGTTCCAATCTTGGTAATATCCTTGGTGTTGAAAAATCACCTCAGCAGATTGATGCCGATACTGCTCTAGTTGGTGATCAAGGTGAAGTAGACTTTAAAGGAGGGGCAAGATTTGCTCAACATATGAAGAAGTAAGGAGAAGCTGTGACTGAATTTTCCATGTCCAAGACCATGGCAGAGCAACGACAGTATCTCCCCATATTTTCTGTTAGAGATGAACTTTTGCAGCTAGTAAGAGAAAACCAGATGATAGTGGTGGTTGGCGAGACTGGTTCGGGAAAGACCACTCAACTTACACAGTATCTTCACGAGGATGGCTACACTCTAGGCGGTATTGTAGGTTGTACCCAACCAAGGCGTGTTGCAAAGAGAGTTAGCGAAGAGATGGAAACAGAGCTGGGAGATAAAGTGGGTTATGCCATTCGTTTTGAAGATGTTAACGGTCCAAACATTGTTATCAAGTACATGACTGATGGAGTGCTACTAAGAGAGACCCTCAAAGATTCTGACTTGGATAAGTATCGCGTGGTGGTGATGGATGAAGCGCATGAAAGGTCACTCAACACGGACGTCCTCTTTGGGATACTGAAAAAGGTTGTGGCTCGGCGTCGTGATTTCAAGCTGATAGTCACGTCAGCAACCCTTAATGCTCAAAAGTTTTCCAATTTCTTTGGAAGTGCTCCTATCTTCAACATTCCTGGAAGGACTTTCCCTGTCAATATTATCTATTCTAAAACTCCCTGTGAAGACTATGTCGAAGCCGCTGTTAAACAGGCCATGGCGATTCATGTAGCAAGCCCACCTGGGGACATTCTCATATTCATGACTAGGCAAGATGAGATTGAGGCAGCCTGCTTTTCACTTAAAGAGAGAATGGAACAGCTCGTCGCATCCTCCAGCAGAGAAGTCACGAACCTACTGATTCTACCATTATACTCTCATTTACTAGCTGACTTGCAAGCAAAAATATTCCAGAAACCAGAAGATGGATCCCGCAAATGCATTGTTACGACCAATATTGCTGAAACATCATTGACAGTCGATGGAATCTATTATGTGATTGACACTGGGTACGGAAAAATGAAGGTTTTAAATCCTAGAATGGGTATGGATGCTCTTCAGGTTTTCCCCATAAGTCGTGCCTCCTCTGATCAGCGTGCAGGAAGAGCTGGAAGGACAGGGCCAGGAACATGTTACAGGCTGTATACTCACAGTGCTTATTTGAATGAGATGTTGCCCAGTCCCGTGCCAGAGATTCAGCGAACGAATCTTGGTAACGTTGTGTTGTTGTTGAAATCCCTGAAAAAAAATAGATAACTTGCTTGATTTTGATTTTATGGATCCACCTCCACAAGAGAACATCCTCAACTCTATGCACCAGCTTTGGGTGTTGGGGGCTCTTAGCAATGTTGGAGGCTTAACGGATCTTGGGTGGAAGATGGTGGAGTTCCCATTGGATCCGCCTCTTGCAAAGATGTTGTTAATGGGTGAGCGGCTTGATTGCATAAACGAAGTCTTGACGGTTGTGTCAATGATTTCAGTACCTTTAGTGTTCTTCAGACCTAAAGAGAAAGCAAAGGAGAGCGACGCCGCGAGGGAGAAGTTTTCTGTGCCGGAATCCGATCATCTAATGCTGTTGAATGTATACTTGCAGTGGAAAGAGCATGACTATAGGGGACTGGTGCAATGACCATTACTTACAGGTCAAAGGTTTGAGAAAAGCTAGAGAAGTAAGATCTCAGCTTCTGGATATCCTCAAGCAACTGAAGATGCAAGTTAAGTCGTGTGGACAGGATTGGGATATCGTGAGAAAAGCTATATGTTCTGCGTATTTCCATAACTCAGCTAGATTAAAAGGTGTTGGGGAGTATGTGAACTATAGAACCGGGATGCCTTGCCATTTACACCCGAGCAGTGCATTGTATTAAG